AGGCTCCCAATCATGGTGAAAGAAGGGATGACCGGGAGCTCATGACCCAAATCCGGATCAAAACCATATCTTTTGATGTTGGTTGCCACTGGACTGACAACTTCGTCGACCCTGTAACCCGTATCACCATATTTGAGGGGTTTACGGTTGAAAATCTTGATGCTCTTGTCTTTGGATGAAGTGACCAAGATACGGCTATCAAAACGGACATTGAGCACGGATTCACGGTGGGCTCTAGATAGCCGCTGGAGAATCTCCCCAGTGGAGAATCTCCAGATGATGATGTTAGAATCACTGCTTCCGGAGACAAGCAGGTCTTCTTCGGGGCTTGCATCAAATTGAAGGCACAGGACTGAACCCCGATGGCCCATCAATGGCGCACGAATAAGGCGTCGCGTTTGAAGATTCCAGATCCTCATGGTCCGGTCCCTACTCCCGCTCACCAAGTAGTTGGAGTCAAACTGTAGCGAGTATATACATTCCTGGTGTCCCTCTGTAGGGTGATTTGGATGAGGAAGCTGAAAGGGTACCGCCTTGCACAGTTCCCAATTTGACTCGAGTCGCCGGCGCATATTATACAGATACTTCCAGTTGATGCGGTAGCGAGAATGATTCATATCCCACATCCACAACGTGGAACGTCTCAGGGCACGAGGGTCCTTGGGCGGGAGAATTGGAGGCAGTGATACCTCTGGAGTCATATTCAACTCCTTTGCTCTATCTCGGGAGCCAGAATACGACCCAAAACTTCTGTCGACTGACTTGCCCCGCATGCCAGCGAGGTCCAATTCAGGGTCGCCCATAAAACCTGCATTAGGCCTGTTGCTTGAAAACGACGAAGTGGGTGACCCAAAGATGCTTTGAGATATGACACCGTCGCTACCGCCAACCCTATCACTATCGGATGTGGACATGAAAGTGTCCTCATCATCGTTCAAAATTGCCCGAATCTTGCTCGTGTGACCCTCGGAGTTCTGGATTCGATGCAAGTGGCTAATGGAGTCGTTGAGGCCAACATTAATCTTCGTTTCCCAGGTTTCTATTTCGCTTCGGATGACTTTCCAGCCTTCAAGGTGATATATCCGTTCCCATAGCTTCGAGTCCAACCCGATATCGCACCAAGCACGACATGTCTGGATAACACTGACGAGAGAGTTGGGATCGAGGTAAGACAGGATCTTGAGGCAGATTTCGGCTGGCAAGTATTGTATGAAGTCAATGTACAGTCTAGGATTCAGCTTTTGGACAATCTCTGAGATGGTTGATGTCGGTAGTTCGCTCAGGAGCGCCATTGTTAGCTCTAGGTGGAGTTAGCAAAATGACAACGTTGATTGCAGCGGAATGCCTGTGGCGTGAGGACGTACCCTTTTTGAGCGATATGGGTAGATGCGCTGCATTCGCAGATATCCAGGCTGGCAGTTCTGCCGTAGATCTCAAGGATGCGAGCGACAACCTGAGATCCTTCTGGATGGTTGAGTCGAGAGGGTCCTCCGAGTAGCCCTCGTCAGGCTGGTGTGATGGGGAAAACGTATCCATGTGTGAGAGCCAGTCCTTGTTAGACATGGCCATATGTGACCCACGAGTATTTAATTTGCATAAGATTGTGGCTGTTGATTTGGAGGCGCCGGGGGGCAATAGGCGAACCGGTGGTGGGCAAACGGCTGGCGGGTTTGGGCAATGGCTTGGGAGGCGGTCGGGTGCGACTTACGCGCTCATCGACAGCGCGCAAGTGTGGTGGCCAGGACCTTTCGATATCCCCATGGAGCACAACGTTCAGGAGGAGCGATATCTGGGCCAATAGTTACAAGCGGCGATGCCTGTCGGGATTGACGTTGCTTCGCGCTATGGCAATGTCGTAAGTTGAGGCACAGTGCTGGGTGGAGTTTTGATGATGAAGTCAGCAGGAGTAGGCACCAGCCTGCCTGTCAACCTGCTGGGTGGAGTGCCGCCTTGCCCGTCTGAAGTCCGGGGGAAAGCGCCCCCAAGCCAAGTCTCCCGTTGTCGGTCTTCAAAGAAGGTAGGCCCCACTTCGTTTGTTTACATGGCAGGTGCACTCAACTACCCGGTAGCCATCCCATTGGTTGCTCCTATCAAAGGTAAGATAGTAGTCCTCATATGGTCAGGACATTACGTAGGCAGGTTAGAAACTGATTGAGAACTAATGCATACTGCTGAGGAGGGAGTTTATCCTATTATGCTTTTTCTAGCTCTAGTTTGTTATTCGAGTTGGCATCTGGCTACCACATCGAGTAGACGGAGTTGCATTGCTAAACATCGCTACAACAGCAACAGTGCAACACAAAAGGTAGGAACGAGAACCGGTGACCACATCTAGCGAACCAAAAAAGCGCAGATGACGATGTTTTCAACACTAGGAAGTAAGCCTCATGTATTTTAAGCGAGGTTCTTACGCATACAGATAGGTGTTAGGGTACGGTAACCATTTGTTAGTAACAACTTATAAGCATAACTTGAATTGAGGTCTGCCATAACATCTTTCAGGCGCATGGCTAGTATCGAGCCCGAGCTCAAGCTGATCGACACTAAATCGCCTTTTTAGATATCCCTACCTATCTTGGACATCTCATAGCGTCTACGTAGAAGGGCTTAGAAAAGTGTGGGAGAGGACCATGAACGCTGTGACGACAAGCCCCGGAAATTCACCGATCAATCTCATCTAACATCCGATGAAAAGAAGCCACAATACGTAATTACTTATTACTGGGAGCCGCGTCGGAGAATTTTACTTATAGTGTTTCCACGAGAAGGTAAAGTCGGGATGTTTCACAACTCCATTTCTGGTTCCGAATGAGAGCCACTTACATCAACAGTAGGGAGCAGGACTTGGTGTTCACCGGAAAAGACGCCATTGCCATGGGGTTTCCGAAAAGTCCATGTAGATCCGCCCGGCGCTGATCGCATCACATGGCCTGACAACTTTCAGGCGATGGCCGGAAGAAGCAAGTAGCATGAATCAGTCAGTGACAACAGTTTGGCTAATGTTGCCTCCTGAAATAAATGGGTAGAGTAATACGAATCACACACAAGTGTGGCGACTATGATCTGACGGATCACTGGCAGGCTCGGCGGCGGAGGATCATGCACTGCATAGAAGGACTGTTGGATCTATCCAAAAGGAATGCGCATGTCAATCGTCTTTCAGCAGCCAGCCCAGGAAGCCGGACAATCATCTTGGTGGCGCATCCTCGTTGCTTTTTTGTAGGACCAGCCGACCAGCCAGTGTCCCTCTGGAGCGGGAGCCTTGACTGTCCTGGAATTAGCGCCGAGCAGGGGCGATATCACTCGTGCTCTTCCTCCGGAGCTGTGGTATCACACAATCGGTACGTGGTAGCCAGGCAGGTAGATCTCAACCCAAGTCGGCAGCGTACGCCTAGCCAAGGCTGAGCAATGAGGAGCTAGAGAGGGACTTGGCGCTGGAGATATCGTTTGAATACCAGGCACACCTAGCGTCCCGGGTAGGATATTTGAAACGAGCTGGCCCGGTCCAGAGAGCTGTTGGTGTCTCCAATCATGCCCAACCAGCCCCTCACCCCCTCCCTTGTCCTATCGTGTGTCTTGGGATGGGTCCTCTCTGTTCATGCTTCGTAAATGGCCATCCTGGTCCTCGGTGAGCATGAGGCATGGAGTTTCCAGCAGCCTCTCGAATATGTTGGCTGGGCCTCTCTTCTCCGACCTGCATACCGCCTGCAGAGGTGTCGAATGCATGGGATGGGTTGGCTAGGGGTGCCGGCATTTGGGCCAACCAACACGACAACCCAAGCTAGGTGATCCACGGCCCGTTGCTTGTCGCTGCATGCTCCCATCCACACAGTATGGCGGTGTCCAAGTGAAGAACGGGCTGACGGGAGCGTTTGCTGAGCAAATCCAACCCCTTCTGGGTGGGTATGTAATACCGCAGGGCCTGGAGGCAAGGTACCTCCCACACACGCAAGCCCCCGACGTGGTTCCTGTTCCATTCGGGTGGTCTGCCTCGATTCCGCCCGTACGTCGACAGCTTGCAAGAAACAGCCGCCCGTATTCTGGCAGCCGGCTTGGTCTAGTGGCGAGCACTGTAAGGCAATCAGCGGCCCCTACGACCCACCAAAGTAGGTCCCTACCTGGCAGGCTGGGTCCCTACTGCAACCACTAAAGGATTAGAGAAACACCACCATCCCATTCTGGTCACGGCCACTCCCCTCCCTATTTCCCCCCTCCTCCCCCTTTCTCTCTGTTCCGCCCGACCCACGTGTTCCGTCACCAGCCACCACAACCGAAATTGTTGTCTGCTGCTTCTACTATCCAGCGACGTACCCGGCAGCATAGTTCAGCCTGGTAAGCCAACAGCGTCACCGGGCGTCGAATCCGCATCTCAGCCCTGGCATAATAAATCAACGTGAGGCACTTCCCGGCCTGCCCATCCAGCCTGCGACCACCCTTATTCGCTCCTCAACCCCTCGGTACCTGTCCAGACGGTACAAGCCCCTCAGCCAACGGCGTCCACACCGGCTCCCCTTCGACCAAACGACGACAACGGCGCCAGCCACCCAGAACGATTCAGAGACCTCCACGCAGAGCCGACCACGACCACCGACCGATTGTCCTTCTCTGTTGTCTGCGCAGCCCGACAGACGACTGCAGCGATTGCCCTCGACTTCTCGACGGCAGCTTGTTGTGTCGCCGTGCCCTGACGGATAGCTGCATCAGCCCCCATTCGACTCTCGCATGTAGAAAGAGGAGGGAAACCAAGGGCACACGACAACGACGTAGCGACACCCCGTCCGACCCGACCGGTGTATTTCGTTTCGCCTCTCGAATCGCTGCGCCTACGAATCGACGAAGAGGGACCGTGGTTTGCTGTCGGAGAGACGAACCCCCCTCAACACGCGGACCCCCATAGCCCAGGTTGCGCATTCCGACGAATGGAGTAAAGGGTTATGGCTCAGGCCTCTCTACTCAAATTTGACTCTGGCCTCATCAAAACATCGTCTCACATTAAAAGAATGAGTTTCGCGTCCCGCACGAGCCAGTTGTCCGGCTCAACGGCTTACGCTGGCTCGTCGGCCTCGCTCAGCTCGCTCTCGAGCGGGGCTACCGTGGTTCCCACGGCCAACATTATCAACCAGAAAGCAGACGCCTCTAGGTCGCTGTACCAAATATGTGTCACATTAAAGAACCGCCTTTCCCAGGTGCCGGATTTCGAGCCTTACCTGCAGCAGCTTGATCCTACCGACCCGGTCGATCCACTATGGGCCCTCCTCCGATCTGGACACCCACTTCTCACCATCTATAATGCTCTACAACCCGAGGTCCCCCTTGTCGTGGAGGAAAATGTTCCTAATGAGGAAAAGCGATCTAAGATTGCCATCTTCAAGTTCGTAAAGGCTTGTATGGATGAGCTCAAGGTCCCTCCCCAAGACAGCTTTGTTATTGCTGATCTAACGGGGAATGACACTAGTGGTTTTGTAAAGGTTGGTTTGTACACCTGCTCAGGGCAGACGCTCTATCGCTCGCAGCCGTTTCTCTTCGATCTAGGCTAATCTTTCTTTTTAACCTAGGTTACTCAAGTAGTCAATCTTGTACTGGATCTCGCCCAGCAGCGGGGTCTCCTGCTTCAACTGGACTCTCACTTTGTGGAAGATCCGAGCAGAGATAACCCGACAATGAAGATGACATATCGCGACCATATTGTGAAGGAACTTGTAGACACTGAGCGCAAGTATGTCCAGGATTTGGAGAACCTTCACGACTTAAAGACAACCCTAGAACAGAGAGGTGCTATTCCCGGTGATATTGTTCACTCTATATTCCTCAATATCAACGCCATCTTGGACTTCCAACGCCGCTTTCTCATCCGCGTTGAGACAACGAACTCAATGGCAACCGAGTTTCAAAAATGGGGTACCCCTTTTGTTATGTACGAGGCCGCTTTCGACATCTATCAACCGTTTATCGCCAACCAAAGAAAAGCAGCTCAGGTCGCGAATCAGGTCTTCGATAAAATACAGCAAGTCAATCATCCTGTAGCAGCTGATTTCAACACACTGGATGGATTTCTCCTCAAACCAATGCAGCGATTGGTTAAGTATCCGCTTCTCTTGAAGGTAATGTTGACCCCTAAGATGTTGGAATGCAGCGCGCTAACGACCGTAAAAGGATCTGAATAAAAAGACTGAAGAAGAGGAAATCAAGCGGGACTTGATGGATGGTTGCGAGGCAGCCGAACGGGTTCTGAAGAAGGCCAATGAGGCGGTCAACCGAGATCTTTTAGACGAAGCCCTCGAAGAGCTGATAAGCAGAGTCGACGATTGGAAAAACCACAAAGTTGAGCAATTCGGAAAGCTTCTGATGCACGGTGTCTACCCTGTGATTACGGGCAAGACGGACCAAGAGAAGGATGTAAGTTGCCCTGCATTGCTTCCCAGTGCCTCCCAATTTTTAAGTATTGTGTTTGGTTACTGACCTACTTCCTAGTATGAAATCTATCTGTTTGAGTGCATTTTGCTCTGCTGCAAAGAAGTGGCCCCGAACAAAAGCAAAGATAAGAAGGATAAGACGAGGTCTTCGGGGCCTAAGATTAGAAACCGGAATGCGAAGCTGCATCTGAAAGGAAGGATATTCATGAATAACGTGAATGACGTTATCACTCTTTCTAAGCCAAGTGCGTTCACCAAAGCGAAAACTGTTGACATAGGCTAACCGGGGATTTCAGGTTCAGGTTCGCATAGTGTGCAAATCTGGTGGAAGGGAGACCCGGGCATTGAGAACTTCACCATCAAGTTCCCTAATGAAGAGTTGATGAAGAAATGGGCCGACGGTCTCGGCACCCAGCGCATAGAGAAGGGTCGAGCACAAAGTGGCGTAGATCCCACCACTTTTATTTGGAACAAGGATAACCTTCCCGAAAATCCATATCTTAACAAAGAAGACGACGACGATGAAGACGACGACCTCCCACCAGCATCCGCACCAGCACGATTTGGGGGCCATGTTCCCCGCACATCCTCAAATTCGAGTTTACGAGGACGGTCAGGCACCAACGATAGCTCACAGTCCTTGTCCAACATGACAAGGACATCTAATCCCAGATATCCCGTGCCTGGACAACCCCCCGCCCCCCTGAATCTCGGCGCTGTTTCTCCAGGTACACGGGGAGGCGACAGTTACTTTTCTCCCGTGGAGCCATCACAATCACCAGCTTCGTCCAGGGCTAGCACAGCCAGCAACATGACGCCGATTTATAAGCCCGGTACTCCCCAGGCTGTCTGGGACGAACCACAGCGACACACAGCCCCGGCAATGCCGCGGGCACCTTCTCGTGATGGATCGTCTCCTAACCAACATGGCGTCAATGGTAGGGGTAATCGCGGACCATCACTGCCAGCCATGGCAACTCATAATAGCGCCGCACAGCAACAACGGGTTAGGTCATACAGTACGCCCGATATTAATGGTCAGGGTGGTACGCGCCAGCGGGCGCCTAGCCAAAGCAATGTACCTGCTGTACCTGGCATTCCTCACCACCTTTCTGGACACGATGGCAGCGTTCCTCGGTCACAGACTGGATCACCCAGAAATGATCTGCCAGTTCGAGCGAATACGCAGAGTCCTGGTGCGCAGCGGGAGCGAATGCATCAGCATTCCGGGAGCCTTGGAGGCGGTGCCGGTCTTTACCCTGGGCACCCAGTTTATGGATCCCGTACAACAACACCCAACCCTCAGGGCGGGAGCTCTCTTCGAGTCGAGGGAGGCGGTGCAAATGCACGCGCCGTATCACCATCAGCAAATACGGGCTCATTTGCACCACCTGGGGGTGGAGAGATGCCTTTCCCGACTTCGCTGAAGGTCAAAGTCAACTGTGACAGTGGTAACTACGTTACTCTTGTCGTAGGATACAACACTGCCTACCAGTCCCTCATCGACCGTATTGATGCTAAGCTGGCGCGATTCACTACTAGTAGCATTGGTCAAGGCATCCTGAAGCTAAAATACCGTGATGAGGACGGTGATCTTATCACCATCTCGAGTGACGACGACATACAGCTCGCATTCGGAGAATTCCGCGAGATGCATGCGGGCGGCGTTGGCGAAATCGAACTGTTCTGCGTTGGTGATGCTGAAAACTAGTGAGCTTAGCGATCGATCTTTCAATTTGCTGGAAGGGAATTTTGTGCGGGAAGCATGGGGTTGAAACTCTTAGGATACCATTAGGAGGAACGGCACTTCAGGCGCTTGGGACATTGATATTCTCGATTTTTGCACTCTTATCTAACATGGGAGGGGATGATGGTGAGTGAAGCGCGAGGAGGAGGACAGAGCGCATCTCAAGGGGCTGAGAACATACATATAGATACGGCATCTTAGCGAAGTACATCTATTATTGGTTTTATTCTTCCATCTCAAGGATTGGTAAATTTACCTTGTTTCAGGTTGACATATTTCCATCTCTTTAATATTGACGCAATTTTCGATGTGATCCGAACCCGACCTGGGCTATGTCGCTTCGGCGCGATGGGTGCCATGCCATTCAGCCTTCATTTCAACTTGAAACAAAGTACAAGTGGTTCCGCCGAAGTTTTGAAATTTGTTCATTGATATGGTACATTCTAAACACCGGTCTCGAGCTTCTTGTCCCGGACCTTTTTTTAGTTACAAGTACAGTGTTGTCGGATATTCTGTGCAACCCAACGCCAGGAAATGCCAATTCAGCACCTCATCAATTCGCCCGCAGGCAGGACCTCTGGCTCGACATGAGTGCCCCCGTCATTATACAACAAATGGTCTTATGCGTAGGGCCCCAATCGAGTCCACCGCATGCATGTTTGGAAAGTCTTCCGCGATATATAATAGATTTGCCCTCCACAAGCGCTTCGAGCACGAGCTCTTTTTCTTTTGCTTTCGTTTTCTTGATCCGAGAGAATGTATTTTTACTTTCTCTTCGGCTTGCTGGTGACGTCCTTTTGCATGCGAGTAAGATGGTAGTTGATCGTGTTCGGCTTCGAGCCGGGGGGTTTGGCGCCGTCCATGCATGATCGGAGCTGGTTCTCAACGGCGAGACAGCCTGCGGCATTGTACCCGGCAGAGGCCCAGCAGGCTACAAGAAAAGATTGGGCGGTTAGCTTTCTGAAACTATTCGTGGTATATGTACTCGCGTATTAAATCGAATTGGCATTCCGGGCTTCGATCGGGGAGATTGTAGACATACCCAGTACTGTCGACATGACGGCGATGCATGGGTTCTCGGGGACTCGCTGGGGGTTGTGGACGCGGAGGGTCTTCAGCGGGGGAAGACGGATTGCCTTGTGCCCAGCCATTGTGTGAGGATTTGTCGGAGTAGCGGCAGGGCCTGGCGCAGGAGACAATTGGGCTGGATATCACGGTCGTCTGATATGGATTGAGCCATCTTGCTCTGCGGGAGCTTGGGGAAATTTTGAGATCACGTGCGCAACGGCTCCACACGTGACACCCTTCATCGCCAATTCGGTGTTTCCCGTCATCAATGTATGAGAACCACTGCAGAAAAAGCGATCTTTTTTGTCCTGTTAAATCATTAACTAAGTTTCCTTGAGTAATTTTATCATAGTGAGCGAGACCGCGGTTCTGATTATCTCTGTTTAATCTATTTGTACCTGTTTCTAGGCGAACAGCCTCGACTAAAGTTCTTGTAATTTCTTTTTTTGGGTCATGATAAATCGCAACGTTCTAACTATCCCTACCTAGCTGGAGATCGCCTTCCGGCATCTTCAGACACCTTTCTTTCTTCACACTTTTGCATTACCGCCATCAATGGACTTTACCGGACCCTGGTTGATACCGTCAATGTTCCGCCCCGAATAGACTGCTTTTTCGGTTTCTTCGCCAGTGGTTCTCGTTATTGGAGTGGTGTAAACTGGCGCCGGAGCTCGAATCTTAGATGACTCTCCCGTTTGTCGTTTTGGCATAACTTTTGGCGTGGCACCTTTCCGCAACTTCCCCCATGCTGATTTTGGCGGACGCCAGGGGGCATTACGTTTCTTTCTCCGGCGATAGAGAATGTAGGCAGTCAAAATGAGGAGGATTGGTACTCCGACACTAAGCACAACGATCAGGGCGGTCCTATTTGGGGTGTCGCGGCTTAGCAAGTCGTTCAACGAGCTGCCTCCCGGGATATACCGAGATTTCAGCCTTCCCTGGGGAAGGAACTCGGGCTCATTTCTGTATGACTGACAATATAGACTGGTCAGTATCAATCTCATTCCATGTTTAGCTTTGATTAGAGATGATCAACTAACTGGTTGATTGACGGACGGTAGTCTCATATTCAACGTAACCTTTGCGTTTAAGAATGTCTCTGATACCTAGATAATGTGTGTTGCAAACAAGCTTCCATTGAATATGTTCTCTGTTGATTTTACATGCTCGGAAGGAATGCACTGTTTAAATGTATTGACTTTGTTTTTGCCAAGCTTCTAGACGTTCGCAATGATGAAAGCCAAGCTCAGGCCCTGATCACCGTCGTGGCTGTGGATTGAATGATGTGCAACACATGTTTCCTGGTTCAGACTTTCGAAACTGCGGATTTGGACGGTCAAGGAACAGGGAATTTTGTCACAAGGACTCCCATGAGGTGCTGCCACGCCGTGTCTTTTGCTTCATTTTAACTCAGTCGTTACAAACCCTAGCTCAGGTGCCTACATGGCCTTGAAACGCTGTTTCCTTGGCTTAGGAACTAGATATTGTGATACTCTCTAACTCATCAGCCGTATGCACTTCAGCAGTGTGTTGAGCTCTCCAGATGTTAACTAAGATAAATCCAATCGTATCATAGAAACCCCGAAGGGGCGGTGGTAGATTCCAACTAAGTGATTCGAACAGACAGGTGCAGTGGCCTCTGATCTCTGTAAGAACCGCCGAAAGATTAAGTTGTAGGACCCGGTTCGAGGAACAAATGATCTAGCGAGATTCTCCCATTAACGCATGAGAAGGTCTCTGACATCTCCAGGGTTCCTTCACACAAGTGTATGAACTGAGTGATATGGTGAGCCTCGTTTGTGGTAAAAATACATGGAGGACCAGCCGCCGAATTTTATTCATTTTGTAAACTTTTCGGTATTAGATAGTAGATCCCACAACTCCAGAATGTTTCCCATCATCAGATAACATCAAACTTTTCATCGTCCACGCTGTGGGAGGGGGCTTGGTTCTTGCTAATAGCCGCCCAGCCTCGACGAACGGGCATGGCAGAGGGTTCGGATTTCACGGTCGCTTTTTTTGGAGCTGCCTCCTTCTTTGGCGCTGCCTCCTTCTTTGGCGCTGCCTCCTTCTTTGGTGCTACCTCCTTCTTTGGTGAGGCCTCCTTTTTTGGAGCAGCAGCCCTCCGGGCTGGCTTCTTGACTGGAGGGGGTTCTTCCTTTATCGGCTCTTCCTTGACCTCCTCCACTTCCTCCACTTCCTCCTCCTCAACCTCACCATCATTGTCGTCGTCTTCGTCATCATCATCGTCATCATCATCATCATCGTCGTCTTCGTCGCTAGAGTCACCAGACCCTTCGCTATCGCCCTCACTCCCAGGATCGTAGTCTTCCTCATCCTCATCCTCGTCATCTTGCAGCAGCTGCTCCGCCTCAGCCTGGGCGCGCTCCAGTTCAGTCGTGCCGTTGGGCGCTGCGTTGGCATCCGTCATGGTGGCGTCGCCATTCTCCGCCTCGCCGTCCTCCTTCTTCGGGCGGTTCTCCGCGAGCTGGAGCTTGGCCTTCCTCTGCTCCGCCATGCTGCGGTCCTGCAGGCGGTTCGTCTTGATGTAGTCGTCGATGCCGCCGTAGTCCTGCTGGTCCAGCATGCCAAACTCAAACTCCTCCACCGAGTCGGCGCCCAGGAGGACCTCGACGACGATGTTGAAGGTCATCTGGAGGATGTTGGTGTAGCTGGTGGCCTGGATCCGGTTCAGGGGGATGAATATCAGGGGCTTCTTGAACCCCCACAGGATGCCGTTCTCGAGGAAGAAGAGGAAGCCGTCCTTGGAGCCCCGGTACCCGCCGACGTGGACGGCCGCTTCCTTGGGCCTGTGCGACTGGCGGATCACGCTCCGGAACTGGCTGGGGTCCGCGGACACGATCTTGACGTCGTTGCCGGCCAGCTTCAGGCGGCTGCCGATCGCCCAGTGGAAGAGGTCCTTGTATGTGTCGGAGACGCTGGCCGCGGACGCGGCGTCTTTGCCGCCAATCGTGCCCTGCTTCGGTGCCGTGGCGGGGACTGTGAAGACGAGCGGTTCGGCGGGCGCCTGCTCCGTCTTGGAAGGGAGGTACGAGCCCCGGGGGAAGAGGACGTAGTTGTGCTGGACCTGGGCTTTCTCGGGTACGGGCAGATAGAAGATGTATTCTTGAAACACGACCAGAGTTAGTAAGGAGGTCTGGATCAGATATAAGAGGCAGGAGGGGGCAAAACACTGTACCAATGTCTGTCCATGCGTATGTGATGGCCGGGATTGGGGCCGTTGTGCCTGGGGCTCGGGCGTAGATGTGGCCCTCGGTGAAGCAGAGCTCGAACTTCTTGCGCTGGGGCACAGAAACGGATATCTCCTTGACCTCGAGCAGGACAGGCTCCTCAGCCGCGTTCGCTCCGCCCGTGGACGTCCCATTCACGTTCCCAGAGTCGATCTTCCTCTTCTTGTTGGCCGGCTCGGCATTCGTCGACGCCTGGTCGCTCAGATGGGCGGCGATTTCGTTGAAGAGGGCAATTCTCCCCGGCGAGTCTGTATCGACACGATTGATTAGCATGCGATGATATTTGCTGGCCATGCATCGCGTGCCCAACGGCCAGACACGGGATCCGTCATCGACTCGACCTACCGGCAGCTGTCTGAATCCCGGCCATAATATCTGGCCGAGACCCAAAAATGGCCGTCAACCTCTGGGTATCCAAAGATTGACTCATGCTTTCGACGGTGTCTCTAGAGCCTCTAGAGTGCAATAGGGAGAATTCGAGGCTATGAATGGGTGTTTGGTTTTTTTGTTTATCTCTACCAACTCTGGAGTGACGAAGCGCCTGCTTAGTCATGCAAATGGTCAATAGCATTTACGCCTGGTCGCCCCACGGCCCAAGAGCTTCATGTTCATGTTGGTCGTTTGTATCGAAGTTTGAGTAAAGCCTCATAGTTTCGAGGTGGACTTGTGCCTCGTTTGTTTCCCTGGTCAGAGGATTTCCCTCGAGTTTACTGCCTGTGGGAGCGGGCTCCTCTTACAAGATGGCGACGCCGTTTCCCAACATCTACACCCATCGGAAGGTCGCTGAGACGGCATCCAAGGCTTGCGATGTCTGCTACAAGCCCAGCACATCCGTACTAATAACCCCAGATAAGAAGGTACGGAGATGAAATGCTAAGCCTAAAAGATGAATGAGCTAGTGGACGTATAGGTGAAAACGGTGCAAAGGTCTTCTAACCCACGCCACTAACAGGACTTCTTCTACATCTGCCCAGTCCATCTGAAGGACCGCAACTTTGCTACTCCCAAAATTGATGAGGAAGCTGTCAAGGCCAAGCGGGAAAAGGAACTCGCTGAAGAAAAAGAAAAGCTGATGAAGGAGTACGAGGAACGGCAAAAGAAGAAGAAGGAAAAGGAAAAGGAGAAGGAGAAAGACAAGGACGGCAAAAACAAGTCCAAGGACAAGGACGAAGAGAAGAAGAAAGACGAAGACCAGGACAAGGATAAAGACAAGGCGGCAAGTTCATATCCCTAGGATACTTCTGTATACACCAAGGCAGCACTGACAAGCGGATAGAAAGCGGACGACGAGAATGACACTCCCACGGAAGAAGAGCCTCGGGTTTTCGAGCTCAAACAGTAAGTCATCTTTACATTCTACTTGGCGTAGACTTTTTTCCGCAGATACTCACCGTCTGTTCTCAGCGTGTTCTATCAACAGAGGATTCAGAAAAAGAGGCAGGCAGAAGCTGCCAAACGGGACCGTGAGAGGGCGTCACAGCCTGGTTACTTCCCCTCTGTCCCTTCAGATCTTCCCAGTAGGTGATATGCGGACCATGAGGTCAAACTATTTGGTGGGTTTGATGCATAGGAATTGTGAGGAGAACACTTGCCCTATATCCGACTACTGTATCACGGCGGAGGCACTCACGCCGTGGGACGGAGACCGGCGGCTGGCAAACCATGGACGGATGCTTATCGGCCTCCAGTCTCTACATCCGGAACTCGCGGAGCGAAATCCGTTTATCTTACATGTCATCCAGGACACCACAGGACGTGATGCTGGATTGAGAGGGCGTCCGCGGCTGGTAGGAAGCAGTTATCTTGGCTGTCGATTTGTTCAAAGGAAGTTCTGCCCCAACCCCATCGTATCATAATCTGACTACATATTGGCAAACCACGGCTCGCTCGTTCCCAAGATTGCGTGATGCGCGACCCCTCTGTCAGCACCGCTGGCGTGACATATCCTCCTACCATGCTACCAATATTCCTCCCCTCTTTCGGGGAGACATCTTGCGAACAAGGAATGATGTGCGTGCGGAGGAAGGAATAGGCGATAAGCAAGAATGCAATTGTAATTCCGCTGCCTCTGAGAACCGGAATCAAGTTTCTCTGGATGTAGCTGTGATCACCTGTAAGTCGCCGACTAACTGCATAGCAGGCGTTGGTTATGGCCTCACGCCCAGCACCCTGGACTTCTCTTTCTAACAGCCCAGGGGGTGTAAACAAATAATACTATGGATGTATGTGTGTGAGAGAAAAAGCCGCTAAATAAGAGCGATCGATGAGATCGCCTGTACTTTATTCCAGAATCCGAGCAGCAATTGGAGCAGCGCTGGACCCGTCAGTCTGACACTATCTCACTATGGCGTCCATCAGTCAGGCGGAGTTAACTGGACAAGTCTATCCCCGAGATCTTCCCTCGAACTGGAGAAAAACAGACCACATGAGGCTTATTATACTGGGCTTTGTTTTTTTCTCTCTCTCTCTCTTCTCACTTGGCTCGCTGCCGGACAACCAGAGTCCCGCACGCAATGTCAGCATGCAGCGGCGTTCTGACTCTCCTCTCCCACAAGGGGCCTAGTGCTTATTGTCAAAAGCACGAGAGTCCCCTTCTGAGGGATTCCCCCAGGGTCGCTTTCTTCCCACGAGGGAAGGGAGGTCGGAACGAAATGTACTTCTGCGAGTCTACGTAGGGGGTTCCCGGGCGGGACAGGGCTCTGGGCCAGCGCAGCAGCAGCGAGCGGAGGGTAAGGTTTCGAAATGCCGCCTTGGTCGAAGAAAAGTGCCAGTCGATCCATCCCTCGGGAACGATGACCTTGAACTTACGGCAGCGGCTTATCGCTGATCGCAGCCTCTCAGCCCAGATCCGCGCATCCCAAGCGAGCACCTGACCGTAGCTCGGAGGAGAGGATCCAGGTAACATGGCCGATGTGCGGCAGGCAAGACAGATAGACAGAGGGCTCTCATACATGGAGCCCTTCCCCCCTTCCTATGGGAGAGAGCAAAGACGGAAGCCAAAGTTGCTTTGGTTACACCGGCCGGGTTGTTCTATTATGCAGATGTGATGCTCGATAATCGAACCCCCGAGAGTAGCGAGTAGCGAGAAATGGCGGGTCAGTCATGGCCGGTGTCGACCTATACCAGAAAAAGATATGATTCAACCAGCGTCGTGATGGACATTTCTACACCCACCATCCTGGGAAATATGTTGGGTTTGACGCTTTAACCGGGCCCAAACACCCCTCCCTTCTGTAGAATGATAAACATCCCCGCCAGTCGCAGCTGACATGCTTGGCCTAGACACGCACTTCCGAAAGCTGTCTCTCTTGCATTGGTAATGGAGAATTGAAGCTTTGGGCAATTGAGAGAGGGTCGCCTGACAGGAAAGAAAGGGTCCCTTGGAATCAGGTCATGGCACAAACGCCATCGTCAAAGGACCCTTGGAGGTCCGGCGGTCGGACTCTAGTAACTTCGAGCTGAGGAGAGAATCCAGCAGCCTCACAATAAGCATCAGGGCTTCAGGTCTGGCTTTAGGTAGGAAAGGGTCTCTTGGTTTGGGGGCCAAGAAAAATAAACACCACAGGAATAGTGCATAGCAGGAGAGGGCTATGTAATCCAGGCGGAGGAGGGTTAGGTAACATAGCAGACGAGAGATATCAGCTTCGATGTAGCAGTGCGTCCTGCCCTACCCCGCGCACCATGATCGACCGAAAACCCTGGGTGGGATTAGCCTGTTGGCGGCAGTGCGTCACTCGTACATTGTAGCCTCGGCCAGGGATAGAGGGACTTGGTATGTAAAGGGAATGGAAGGAGAAGGGTGAGGGGCGTGGAAGAGCGAAAACGGTCGGGGTGAAGGGTTTGGTGATGGTACTTGACGGCCATGTACCGATTTTCTCTGACCCCATGGGGCCTGGATAGGACACGGCCCTGGTCCACCAATGTCCCTTATATTTTTCTCAACCACACCAAGCCAGCCAATCGCCGGGGCCTGGGGACTTAAGGGCGGTCAAGATGATGGTGATGATGCCTTGTCCCTCGGCCAGGGGGGGAGGGGCGTGCCCGTCCGCAAAGTTGACCGGACTGCTTGCTGTGTAGGGGAGGCATGTAAGAGCCAAGCAGAACGTGCATGGACATACATAATAGGCGCAGGAGAGGACGGACGGGGACGGAGACTCGGATCGGACTTGAGAGAGAGAGGGGGAAGCGAGCGAGGATGAACGGGCTCACGTTCGGGCCTTGAGCATAAGTCTGTGGTCGATACGCCTCGCCTCGCGCGTGTAAGCAGGCGCCGCTGCACGCTGAGCGGGCGGAAGGCAGCGTATACGCATACGACGGAGCCTGGGGTATAGCAGATATCGACACGCACCGTCTTCTTTTCGACAAAAGTGCATTGGAAGGGGGTGTCGTGCTGCTGGATGTGGTGGTGGTGGTAGTCGCAAAAAGTCACAGCCGTGGTCGCAACGTGGTGGATTCGAGCGAGGCAGAGCCCAGGAGAATGAATGGATGCGTAGACGCCGTGACAGCCTGGCTGTCTGTATGTCTCTCTCTGCATGCATGTGTTATCTGCGTGTCTGAGGTAGATGTTACGCTGGGATGGTGTTGATGCTTGGACACTTTGGGCTCGGAGGCCTGTCTGACTGACCGCACTCTGCCAGTCCGAGGCTTCTCTCATGTGCCATGGTTTGGCAGTGCAGGCCTGGTGCTACATAATAAACCACCATGTCGCAGGGAGCATTGCATTGCATATACAGACTCGCAGTTGCGAGCTACGTGGGACAAGAAATCCACATCCGCCAGGTCCTCGGCCAATACCTGCGCACATGGACATGCATGCAGATAGATACATATACTACTCTACCTACATACATATGCACATACAGTACACTTACAGGGGCCGTGATGCAGGTTCTCGTGGGATGCGTGCATGTCGGCCAAAAAGCCAAGCGCCGCCCACGGTCAAGGCGGCAGAGAGACCGGCCAGCTCGGTGGCATCCGCCCAGCGTCCTCGGCGACACCGAGAGCACATCCGTCATAGGGCATGCAGAACATGGATCTTCTTTGTCCTGATCCTGCTCTTCTAGCTGCTGGCGAGAATCTACCAGCCAAACAAGGTGCAAACGTGCTGCACAACGACGCACCAGGTGAGCAGATGGGGGGAGTGGAGGGGAAACGGGAGGAGGAAAAAGAGGAGTGAGAGGGGGAAAACAGCAGGTCGTACAGCCAGGTTTTTGTTGGGGGAAGTCGTTTCTTTTTGCTGCAGGGCTGATGCCATGCGATGCACCCGCGGGACACCTGGCTCCCACGGGGCTTGAAAAACATCGCCGTCTTCGTCCATCCCGCCGTCGCACTCGTCACACAAGCCCGCACGGCTCGCGGGCCAAGGAAGCTTCGACCAGCCCGGCTCCGCGTTTTCTTGATCTGGCTCGAGCTGGCCATGCAGGCTTGGTAGATTCCGGTTGGCTGGCCGGCATCAGAACGTCATCGCAGAGCGGTAGCAGTAGGCCATCGCATGCAGAATCGTGAAAGATAGCACCGCATTTGGGAAGCGTCCAGCTGGATCGCCAACCAACCGAACAAGCCATTGCCGTTCCGCCCTCCCCCTGAAGGGCTGGGCCATGGACTTTGTCGGCTTCCATGGTTGGTCTGTTTGTTCCCCACACGATCACTCGCCCGTCCAGTCTAGAGAGAGCCACCCCCCCCTCACTTTTCTCAAAGTCCCAAGCACGAAAACAGATAGTCCAGAGTCTAGTGGACGCGCCTCTAGTATTCTCTTTCTGCTTGGAGTAAGCAAGAGCCCTGTACGGTAAGAATCAGGCAGGTTGTCGCGAGATAACTCCTTTCGCTCTCTCGCCTGCTCACTAAAGTCCGAACCGTCAAATCGCCTACTAATATTGAGCCTTGCTGGGATATCAGGTGGGCAAAGGCGGAGGCGCTGTTTTAGTTTGCTGAGTGAGGCAAGAAAAGTCAGCCCTAAAATCGTGAGTTGACTTGACATCCATGGATACCTAGGTAGGGCATGGATGCTATGCTATTTTGTTTCAGACCCCAAACCCCGGAGCAACCGGCGATTTTTAGGCCTAGGGAAGCCATCTTAGTGATAATAAGCGGCTTTTCCTTAGAAGGTAAAACATGTCGTTGCCAATTTCCCCCATACTGGTGGTATAGTCCGTGCGTTCCTTCTAGACGACATCAGCATCAGCATGCCAAGCAATAGCCTTTCTCTAGCCTGGAAAGTGGTTATCAGAACTAGACAACGACTAGCTGTGGCCTGTATAGGAAAATGCTAATACGAAAACCCGTTACGGCCCGTGTTTTATCTCGGGCCAACCTGCCCGATGCCTACCGTACAGGGCTCTTGCTTACTCCCAAGCCTGGACCAAGAACAAAGCCTCACAAAAGGGAATAACATGTAAGGGGGTCAACAGGGATGAAGGATCAAGATGTAACGCTTTTGTATTTGCAGAGCTCTAGGCAGAAGTGAAAAAACTGTCCAGGGCGAGCCTTGCCTAGTCTCGAAAGTAAGAGTCCCCGCCACGAAGATAGGGGCCTACACAGCTGTAATGCTGATAGAGACATACCCATGATTGTCGGTTCCGAGTTGCTATTTGATCGCTGCTGGTCTTTGGCGCCGCAATCCTGCAACAGGTGAGAATATAGGTCTTCAAGAGACGTTTGCATGGGAGTTATCTAGAAGCCAAATGCCGAAATGAAATGGGGGCCAATCAAACTCCCGGTCTCGAATCGCCATGGCTAGTAGACAGGGGCCAGCGCTTAAGTTTCCAGTTGCGGCGGGGGCTAAGCCTCACCTCAAGACACACTCCCTCATCCCAAAATGATGGTTATTTTGCGACATGGTCATGGGATAGATACGCCTCTGTGTAGTAAAATCATAATTCGAAGGAAGATGACCAGTGCGGGACGAAGTCTCCGGGCCCCCAGAGCCTTATGGCTACACCCTGGAAACCCGTGGACGGCTTTAGGGTTATACCTTATGCAATCTGGGCAACATCCAGCGAAGCGATGGTGTAAAGTACTTGGATCGCGACCCTTGCATAGTGAACTGACAAGTGTTGGCGTCTGTCTACAAGGCTGCTTCTGGTGCACGGATGATTACCATCTTGACTCATCCATATCCAATTCAGATGCTTACTGGCTGACAATGACCATGAAGCGAGTACTTCCTGTTTTAGTGGGCAAGCGCCGCCTGCATATCGTCTTCGTACAGTAAACCCAAAGTGGAACAGCGAGGACCATGAGATAGCATCGTCACAGGTTGCCACCTCGCGCGCCCGGTGGCATTCTGATGCCAAAGCTTTGTTGCTGTCCAGCAGCAGACGAGGAGGCGTTTAGGATGACATCGTCTACACGCCCTCGTTGGAGCGAGAACGCCGGCGTCACCCAGGCCCCGCAGGAGCACTTGAACCCCTTCCAATCGTACCGACCCACGCCGGCGCCGCAACGAGCGTTGGGGCAGAGAAGTCGCCCGTTGAGCGTCCCCTTCTCGAGCTCGTCTCGCATCCAGCTCAGAGGCTCGATAAAGTGGTGCTGGCATTGTGCCGTTGTTTGTTCTGCTTTCTGGTGGTCGATGATGAAGGGTGCTGTGGCCAAGGACCGCCTGCACTTCTTGCACCGGAGGCTGAGCCCAGGGTTCCCAGCTGCTATCCTCTCGCTGCCGTCGATCTCGTCCTCGAACCGAAGTCTCGAGGGGGCCTGTCCGACCGCAAGATGCTCCTGCACCTCCCGGTCGTACGCCCAGCGCTGATAGACGGGGTGAGTTTCGATATCACCCTCTATCGGGCAGCCCATTTCCCACCAGAGCTGCAGTTGTTTCATGAACCCCTCGTTTGGCTCTGCCATCGGCCGTGTACGCTGGATCCAGCCAACTGCGGCGTCGACAGCCTTGACGGCTGTCTCCCGGCGTGTCTGGGGTTGTGGGGTCTCGGATTGGTTGGGGGCCAAGGATGAGTCAAATCGGCCTGGGAACCGCCAGAGAAGATAAGCAACCACGGCGGACACTGATCGTGACTTTCCTGCGGCGCAATGCACAAACACCGCTCCGGATGACCCCTTCCCTGAAAGTTCCGCCCCCAAACCCTCCCCATGATCCTGGCTGGCGGCCGCTTCTCCTTGCGCGCCAAAATCTTCCGGGCTGCTGCCCAGGGCCTGGCTAATGAATCTCACCGCGCGTGGTAGCTCGATGAGGAGGTTGGCGTCCTCTGTGTCGTCAATGTCAATGGACAGGTGCTCTATCTCACGCCCGTACTGGGACCATGGCTCATCCTTGAAATTTTTCAGAGTGGCAGGGTCAATCGCAACCATGGACAATACATGGGTGATACGCCGCTCAGCAAGAGAATCTGACCGCCTCATAGCCCATAGCCTATGTGATACCGTTTTGTTAGTTGTTAATCACTTGTTAATTGGAGGCCCGTAAAGAGAGGAAAGGGACAATGAGGTTCAAGGCTAATAGCCTATCACCCCGCAAGAACATACCCGCCAACGTAGAGCTCCTCTCTGCCCTCGACTTTGCTGAGAGCCATCTCGACAATAATTTTCTTCAGAGCTTCCAATTCTTCTGACTCGAACTGGTGCCCAAACTCTTCCCAGACTTCCAGCTTTGTATCCAGTGGATCACGTCCGTCTTCTTGAGTCACAGGGTTGATGTGACTTTCTGGAGCCAGTTTGAAGGTTGGCCTTGGCGGGGGTTCAAAGAAAAAAAAAAAAAGGTGTGCACCCGGAAAGTAGTTATGTGAGGAATGAGGAAACCTTCAGTTTATGCCATCAAATTCCACGCGACTTGAGGGGGATACCAAAGTGTTCTTGGACAATAAAAATAAAGTTCCCGTAGCATTGGTCAACTTCTATTGTCTCGCCGACTGACGCACAGATATCCCCGCTGTGTGTCAAATCTTGGTCTTGTTGGAAAAGCTCCTCCCGTGAATGACTGATGAGCCCCTCCCGTCCCGTCCGCACCGCCACAAGGAGCTACGAGTCCAGCCACAGGGTCACCAGCCACAGCGCATTCTCCCATAAGCCAACTCCTGCCCGACGTCACACTTTCACGTTGTAGCGGCCTCGCGATGACATCCTACCTCGTCTACATATGCGCAACCAATCCCTCGAAGCGATGATCCACGGAAAGTGTGGATGCCCTCAAGGTACACACCCTCGCAGTGCATACGCCTACTAATCAGATAGAGCCTCGGGTAAATTAGTGAGGATGCTTGGAGCCCTACAAGGCATAACGCAGATATCAATGGGTACGATCCATCGTCGAAAGACGCCTCGTGGCAAGATGAATCGTACCCTTCCACTAATAAACCCCGGCCGTTTCTCGTGATGGATAGTTACCTATACGATGAACGCCCGACAGCGGAAGACAATTAATTAAAAAAACAAACTCTGTTCAGCTCCCCCACTTCCTCCCCCAAGGTGTGTGTCCCTCTCATTCCGCACTCTTCACGATGCATCACATCTTGATTCCGCAGTGACACCGTTGGGAAGGGAATAGACTATTTAGGCTCACCTAGACTAACGCCGTTTTAGCTCAGCTGCGTCTCAGCTCTGCCCAGTCCCTTGGTAGATGGCTGCCCCTAGCGGGTGGGCGACAATAGTAATCCACGCCTTTTTCTCAGCCCCAAGATGGCCTTTAACGACACGACTTGCCTGTTGTGGACCTCCAACTCACATCTGCGCATGCCTCGCGACGCCTCCGGGGCAGTCAGCCCTCTTCGTCTCGAAATTCGCGCTAATCCTTTGATTCAGGTGACTGGAAGTCAGCTGTTGTTTTCCAATCTCCACCAAAGTTGCGCTATAGTTTCCCGGACTATGCTAGTTCCGCGAGTCTATCTCGAGTCCCTCGTGCCTATCCTCATCCTAGCGAACGATGCAGAAACACAGGAGGTACATAGGTTAATAATAGATCAGTAAGCCAAAACCCTATGCATGCTGCACCACGCCCAAAGCAAAAACAAACACGAGAAACAAATTTTAAACCACAAAATAAGAAAAAGAAAAGAATCCAATATTTCCCGTTGACAGGTGTGTGCCACAGGAACAACAAAAGCAATATGTCCGCCACCATTATTGAAAGCCCTACCACCAAAATTGCCTTAAAGCTGCCCCTCCCCCTCCCCAGGCAAGGATAGGACCAATCACCGCCCCGTCAGCAGGGATGCCGGCCGTTCAGCCATGTAGGGCGGACGCCGTGGCGCACCCTTCACATGGCAGCTTGGGCTGTTGCTGTCGTCACCTGTCGCCATGTCTCCTCTTCGGCGAACCATCCGAAAAAAAAGCTTGCTGAGGAATTTCGGCGCGCGCGTGGCCCAAGTTCAATAAGGTGCGGCGCTGGGGGAAAACGGTAACCGCTAGAGAGAGAAGGGAAATGTATCGTCGGCAGAACCGTTGCGCGTCGCCCTCCGCTTACTAAACTCATCGGGGTGGTACCACACACCGGGGCCCTTTCGTGCTGTGCAAGAGCAAACTTACAGGGTCTGATCCTGTCCGGCTTCGGTCAATGCCAAGCGCACTGCAGCAGGTACGCTTCCCTCATCACACATCCCATCACATCCCGCTCGCAACTGTTGCCTCAGTCCAGCCCTATGCATGCTTGGTGTCGCTAAGCTCTGTACCTTTCGAAACCTTAACATGCCGCATGCACTGGGCATTCCTGCACTGGCCGCCTTTCCTGGGTCTGGACTCGGCTGCAGAGATGCCATGTACATTCGCATTGTTCCTCTCATTACAAGCAAGAGTTGAAGACAAGGGAAGGACACGACTCCCCGATGAGATTCGAATTCTGGTATATGGTATTTTAAGACAACTAAATAGCATTGTCGATTCTTTGCCTCCCAAACGCCCAATAATGTAGTTTAAAATGTCGTAACTCGTATCGTATGTCCATGGATCCAGAAACATTTCTCTTTCTTCTCGGCCATCGAGCGGCCTTCCTGTGAGATCATCCATGGCCGCGCGGTAGATCCCAGTGTTTCAGCTTGTTTTCCCTCTACTGCAATTCCAATCCGCATACAATCTGCCCCTTTGAAACCTATTCCGCTTTTTCTTTATCCACTTACTAAATAATTCGATCAAGCTGCAGCCCTGTACCACGCAGCGCCCTTTAAAATAGAGAATCTTCGCTGAAATAGACTCATTCACTCTTTTACCTGTGAGGTACAGGAGGCTCCTCATCAATCATGCAGGCGGTCTCAAGCATATTAGTCCACTTCCCACTTGCGCCAGCATGACTGTGCTTCAGGTGCTGCCTGAAGTGATCTGCCCGGAAGAACTTCTTTGACGTGTTGCATTCGCCAAATTTGTGGTAATCCTGCAAATGCCTTGATCGCTCCTCCCAGTCCCGTTCGGTGGCATATCGGGGGCCGTTACTACCTGGACCACGGCCTGAACGAGCAAAGTCCTCGCCGCAGTATCCACAAGTGTCAGCTTCATAGGGCCGACTGGTTGACTCATGAAAGGCTCGCTTGTAGTCTTTCAAAGCCGAGCACGACCATGAGTGACGTCGGACATGCAGAGAGTTCTGGTGTCGCTCTGCTTCGTTCTTGTTCTTGAAGCGATTGCCGCAATATTGACAGTTGTATTGCTTCTCAGCTTCATGTGCTCTGATAGTTTGGGTTAGATTCCATGGCAAAAAGTGAAGATAGACCGCCGAAATAATACATACTTGAGATCCTCAGCTGTCTCGAATTTCTTGGGTTTCTTGGGACAGCATTCGCACATAAAGAATCCTTGCATCTTGAGCCCGGGCTTCTGTATTTCGGGAATTTTCCTCGGGCTTGCGCCTGAAACGTTGCGGTGGTGCCCTGTAGCCCGTCCAGAGATAGAACCCCTCGGGCTAGGGTTAAGGGACTTTGGTGTACTGTATGGGGAGGCGGTGGAGGTGGGTGAGATACCACTAGGTGATTGTCCCCTGGGAGAGCGACGGTCGTATGTAGCAGCGCTTGATGGGCCTACTGAAATGTTGGATACGTAGGAGCTTGAGCGGGAAAGTGAAGGTATAGGCACGCCCTGTGATATCGTAGCAAGACGGGGAGTGGGAGAGCCTCGAGGGTTGGCCTCGCCTCGTCGTAGGAGGTCATCTGAAGGGGCGCGACGCTTTTGCCCAGCCAGGCAAATATCACCAAGCTGAAGCCTTTTGAGAGAAGAGGTTTCTTCGATTTCCATCTCCTCAGCGCCGTAGTATTCATATCCACCGTGGACTGATGCATCATCGCTATTGTTTCTAGACGATCGAGTTCGTGGAGACCTATCCATGTCCACGCTCTCCTGCGGGGATCGACGGCCCGTGTGGCTGAAGGGTGTAGATCTGGGTGAGAATGAGGATGCCTCTGACATCCTGGATGGCTCGAGAGGTCGTGGGTGGAAAGGGAGCTGGTGAGGCATGCTCAGGACGGAGGGGTATCGGTCGGGAGGCCTCGAGGAGAGGCTGCTAAGGCTGCTGAGGGAGGATATCGGTGGAGATCTGTCGACGGGGCGCATCTGGTCAAGCTTCTTCTTCATGCTGTCGACATCGCCGGCTGGTGATTGGAACTGAAATCTGTCGTGGTGTAGTCCGAATCCGAGAGGTGGGAATGCATCTCTGGATCTACTAGAGGTTTGTTAGATCTGTTTGTTCTGACAAGACAACAGACAACTCAGGTTGATTGCGCGGGCTGTGCTTACCTTTCCATTGATGAGTAGCTTGAGTAGCTTTGGTAGCCTTCGTCGTGGTCCTCACTCTTAATCCCAGTAACCCTTCTCTTTAACCTGTCTCTCTCCTCAGCTATCGACGAGGCACTCCCATAGCCACTGCTCAAGGAGGGCGTGAACTGAGCATAGTCTCGTCGGTCTATTGACATAGCTTGGTCGTTGAGGTTACCCAGGGGCATCCGAGGAGGTGGCAGTGGAGGAGGAGCTTCTTGTCGTAGGTCTGAGCCAGGAATTGACATTGCTGGACTCCTTCCGTAGGGTTGATCATCATGTTGAGATCGAAAGCGAGCGGCGGCACCTGGGACTATAATACTCGGGAGGCTCTGGGCCTCTCTCTGTTGGAGCTCCATGTTGATGCAATAATCCTGACTCAAGGCCCTAGTAATGGGAGGATGTAGGAAGACCTAGTAAAGCCCGGGAGGCTGGTCCTCCTCGTCATAGGGCAGTGAGTGGATGGGCCGTCGTTTTTGCCGGTGGGTTTGGTGGAGTAGGTTCAGCTCTGTGATTCTGGCAGTGGCGAGCGCGGTTTCGGGGAGGCCGACGAATCACGAAGCAGAGGTCAGGATTCAGCAGCACAGCCTGGTGTTTCGTCCCAGCTGGAAAAAAAATAAACAAGGGATACAAATAGAAAAAGGCGGAGTAGATCAAGAAGAGGAGAAAAACAATAACAAAACCAAGCGTCGTCTTGGACCGGCCGAGAGGACCAAAGGGCAGGTTTATCAGGAGCAATGCTGTGGCGAGGCGAAGAGAAACGTGTGATGCGGATGTCCTATTTCAGGTCATACCTTGAGCGCACGAGGTGACCAAGCAAACCGCTCGTCCTATCTTTTCCTCAGCAACAAGAATTGCCGGATGGCTGAGCCTCTTCCCTCTATCCTTCCCTGGCTGGCAATTGACGATGCTGGTGTAAATCAATGACGGGGCGCTGTGGCGAGTTACTGTGAGATGCAATGGCAATGGGAGTGACAGAATGCAGATAGAGGGAGGGGTTTGGAGTTTGATGGGGGGGACGGGGTCTAGTACTTGAACCATGAACAACATCGACCACTTAAACTGCTGAAATGAGAAGACTCTGGCCGAGCAGATTGGAATAGCATTGGCATGGCTTCGCAAACGGTAGAGGTGCTGGGGGACTCGCAGGGCTGGTCTTGCTGCCACTCCACACCCCGTCGACAAGGGTGCACGACAGAGACATTTGCCCATTGGTCGTCACCTCGTTGTGGCTTTGCTGGGGAGGGGTGGACGTTACGTACCGTGGTACGTCCGCGCTGGGATCCGCAGAAGGGCCCGTCGAGGACCCACGGAAGTACCTCCCTGCGAGGTAGAGCCAAACCCTGCAAGCAGCACACCCAAGCGCGGGAAGGAGAGGGGGGGCGTGGAGCCCGAGCCTGGGAGTCGCCGCTCGTCGTCAACGCCCAGGGAGTAGCCTGGCAGATAATGGACGCGCGCGGGCCCTTGACATCCAAGCCCTACCTGACCTTATACTGGCACCTACCAGCACACCCCTTGGTGGGACCCTGCCTGCCTCCTAGAGACGCGGCATGCTGCCCGCTCGCTGGCACCAGGGCAATAGTCGCTCCAGTGAAGAAGACGCCTGGATGCGTGCTGTGCAAACACAATCCAGGGCCGGTGTGTCATGCTCCGTCGTGCAATAATCCAACCATCCGATCAGTGAGCTGCCAATGGACAACCCTATTAGCTACATTCATACATACCCTGCTGTGCAACTTGGGTACTGGAAAAGGCGGGTTGGCTGTTGTGGACTTTGGTCTCTCAGCGCCTACCGATTGAGCCGCTGGATGCTCCAATGCGTGACTGGACCCGATCCATTCTTACATTGTTGTGCGCATGCCGCTTCGAGCCGTACTTTGGCCGCCGCGCTCCCGATCATGCCATCAAATCGAGCGCGCGTGCGTACCAGGAGTCGGCGACCCTATGGATGGTATGGTCCTGATCGACCTCATCGCATGCTCCACCTAATGAATGAGCCTAGCCCAGAGCATGCCTGGGCGTGTAGGGCCATGGAAGGGCATATGTTCTGAGCCACCCCCCACACTCTCCCGACGGGAAGGCAAGCAAGCGGGAGGGGAGAATGGAAGGTACCTGCACGCAAAGTCTCCAGGGTGTACGAGAGCGCCCTCACTACCGTGCCTATGTAGGCCTAGCTCGCCGCTGCTGCCACCTGGTATTGGGATTGGATGGCAGGTAATACATTGGCACGAGCGGTGCCTACCTAGCAAGAGTAGGTGGATAGCGCATACCTACATACCTACGTAAGGCCCTCTGACCTCGAGAGCGACCCTTGTCCCTCGCACCAGCGACCAGAGACCTAATTTCCATCCAGAGGGAGCCTGTTTCACGGCTTTCAAGGGTCATACGTGCGCATTGAGAAGAAGAGGATCTCGGGGCTTCTCTGACATCGATCGCCACCCACGGCCGCTTTGGCGATGATTGACAGCCTTTCGAGGACCCGTGTCTTACATTTCTTCAATCACAAAGGCCGCCGGCTGCCTCCTGCCCATTGGCACGCCAGGGCTGACCCGTAACAGCAGCGCGCGCCTTGTCATCGCAACATCGACTCTTGGGCGGAGTTACGGAGTTCAAATACGGGTCTTGGCCAATATCGCATGCATCCTAAGTACGTGGTACTACTGTATGTATTGTCCCTTCATATCTTCTTCTGCATATTCGAAGAGAGTGCCCCATTCCATCCCGCATCCGAGGCGTCGCGTCCGGGGTCTCCCAACAGAAACTCGCCTGGCATCCTGCAGCTAACAGCGCGCGATTGAGCCATCCGCATCTATTCTAAGCAGCGCCCTATGAATGCAGGTCGAGATCTCATCCATGCGGGCGCGCTGACAACGCAGCGAGGATCAAAAGACAAACCTATCCGAGCCTCCGGGGAGCTATGGATGCATCAACACTTGCGAGACGGCTTATTATTCTACCTAGGCTAGGCCTAGCCTTACCAGCAACGAGGCATTACGGCGCACATTTTTCCTCTTTTGCGATGGCGTCGCTCACGCGGGAGCCCTGCGGTCTGGCATGGGCTTCTTGTCATATTCTTTGGGCTGTTTGCATCCATGCTGGCCTCAATTGGCAGCGTTGATCAGCGACAAGGCCACCTGTAAGGATAATTTTGGCCTAGAGACACCTGGTTCTGAAACACCGGCAAGGCTATTGGCATGTGGATCTTTCAGTTGAATCCTCCTCAAACCCCGCCCTATCAAGCCCAAATCTATTCTTAAACTGCCGACTTTGGGGGCCCCAAGGCCTAAGATACTACCCAAAGTCCCGTTATCGAGATGCCTGTACTAGAACAAGGCGCTGTGAACGTCAATCACCCATGTTGAAGATGAGAATTTCGGGGTCCTCGGCCAGGCAGCACTCGGCTCGGGGACCACTCGCTCACGATTCTGTCAGCAACGGCAGATGGCATCGCCCCAGGGTCTCATCTCGGCATATCCAAGGCGGTTCAACCCCGAGACTGTGCTGTGCTGACATGGCTCCAATTTACTAGGTAATATAACAACATTGGGTTGATCTCAACCCAGGAATGGTTCCATCTGGACGAGGCCGAAGACCAGGAATTCCCCGACGATACTCCTCTCCTAGGACTCTTCAATTTCAGACAGCAAACATTGGATTGCAGAGACGAAGGCCTTGCCTAAGCTTTCTCCACTCCTTCTTAATCGCCTGTGCCGTAGACTTTGGCTAAAGCTAATTGGAAAGCCCACGCGAACAACTGTCAGCCCTGCAGCAGGTCAGCAAGATGAGTCGGAAATTCCCAGATCCGGTAATTACAATTCCATCACGCATATTCTAGCCCCAAACCACGTTCCATCACCCTTAAACCCCGCCCAGGCATCGCCAAGCGTACATGGCAGGGATCGCACCAACTAGAGGAAAATGAGCACCATCATCGCCATTCGCCATCATACTCAGCGGCGGGCGTATATTCCAAGTCGCCACGGAATGATGCCCGAGGGTCTGGCGCCGCCCCCAACTGCTGAGCTTTGGTAAGCCTCATTACCTGTGGATGATGCTCTCGCGCGCTCCGTCTCTGCCTCTACACTCCCTATAGTCCGCGACGTGCAGCTGATAGCGCGCCGCGCATGCCAACCATCGAAGCGCCATACACGCCCTACCGGTGGGGCCAGGGGAAGGCCACGGCTCCCTCTACTGGGGGAGCGAGCACTAAATCCTCACAAACGCTCCGGCACTCCAGACGTTCAGGGATGTGCGTTGGAGTCTCGTGGTCGGGCTCATCGGAGGCCGTGTGTCCGATCAGTGACCAACACGAGCAGTGACAGGCCCTCGCTTCATCATGATTACCTACCTACAGTAAGATGTTGGTAAGACCTAGCACATTGTAATCGGCCTGTTGGTCACTGACAATAGAGACGGGACCGATAGAATGAAACTCCTCTGCTCTCTCCCAGTCACAGCGGTCTTTACAACTGCCACAATCCCTGCTCAACTAATTTTAGCCTGCCAACTTTTTCCCCTGAGGCTCTAAAACTTTATTGAACCTTCGTCTAGTTGGCCAGAATACTACTACGTGCGTGTTTCGCTCCTCGGATTTGGCATAGTCTCTGAGCCGCCGGGGAAATCTACCAACCAGAGCACAAGTTTGTGAGCGTTTCATATACCGAAGTTCCGTCGCTCAAAACTTGTCCATTCCTTCCCTTGCCATTCCATCTCCTACCCCAATTGGCCGAGGCACGACGGGTAGGGCGAGGAGGATTCTGGTGGGAGGGTGATACCCGATTAGCAAACCAGTGTTTTGGTTCCCCCCGTACTCGCTTATTGATGCCATGGTGGCTGGGGACGGCAGCTACGTACGCAGCGTGCGCGTTGGATCACCCCGCCGACAAGGGAAGGTAGAGGGACGAGGGCGGTTTGGGTGTAACTCGCGCAGAATATCCACTCCGGCCGTATTACGTATGTGTCATTTGGCGCCCACGCGGGAAAGAAGGGGGGGAGGGGAGGAGAAACTGAAGGAGAAAAATGGACGGTGCGACTTTGACGCCGCGGCCCCCGTAGGGCTTGGGCGCTTCGCTGATCTCCCTTACCCTCGCGCAGGGATTGGGCCAGCCCGGCTCGGAGCTTCAGCTACCAACGACCTGTGTGCCAAGCAAGCTTGGCTGCCATGGAAAAAAAGGCGGCCAACAAGAGGCGAAGTAATTTATAGGGCATGACATGCATTTTCCCAATCGCTGAGATTCGCCCCAACATGCATGCAGCCTTGATTCTATGGTCCCCTCCCTCCCCTCTCCATCCACCCCTCCTTACTCCTCTCGTGTGATGCGATTCAAGGCATTTTCTCGCCTTCGGGGTTATTGAACGCGCGTAAAGGGGGTTCTATAAACCATCGATCACTGCTCCATAAGGCTGGTGAAGCGCAATCTATAGGGAGGCGGTGCTGGTGCGGCTGGTGGGCCTGAATCATACGCAATGATGCTACAGTGAGGCTAGCAAGATACGAACGAGGGGCGCGGCGTCTAGAAGATTCACTTTGGCAAACGTCGCAGTAGGGCTGTCAAGTGTTTAACCCACACCTATTTGCCCGTCAACCTGGACATTACCATCGCAGGTGGGGTTCCTGGGAGTGGCTGCATAGGGACGCTGTAGAGCATGTTCCAACGTAACTTGGGCGATCAGTCATAACAGGCCTGGACTATGACCCGAAAACAACATACAGGGCCGAAGCAGAAAAAAAAATCCAAAGATCTTTCTTGGCCGAGAATACGAGGACGTCTTCATGGACTGCAACGATTCGGCACACCCTTCCCTCTTCTGGTCCCCCGGAGCCCCCCTGGATCGCGGAGCCCTTTTCTCGGCGCGGTCGGTTGCATGAGAAAGTTGCTCTTGTCATGAAACCGCAAGGGGGCCCCCCAATATCCCGTCCTGTCGGGAAAACAAGCTTTGAGCGACGGCGCTGGGCCGGTTCGAGGCATGCCACCGAGGCTAGCGACCACGATTGCAGAAAGATTAAAAACCCACATGCTGTATAGTACCTACATGTAAGGTAGTCGGCGATCTAATAAGGCTCTGTTTGGGAGACGGCACCTCTGGGCTGGGTGTGCCCTTTGCGTGGGGCCGGAGGGGGATCCTCAATCTGGCTTGACCTCATACGTAGAAGTCCCATATCCCATGTTCTGTCGGACCAAGGCAACACAACGAGAAGAGCCCGACATTTTGGAGCTAGCTAGTTAGTTAAGTTAGTATGCCCCGAGGCCACGGGGGCGGAGATGAAAGAGGGTAAGATGGCAGAGTTATTGGAGGGGGCGTGGTTTGTCTGAATCATGAAGAATCTGAGTTTTACAATGCACCTCCAAACCAACATTAATGATGTCAAAGGGGACTTGCACCAAGAAGAACAAAAAACGGTCGCCGTCCATTCACTACGAGGAGTTTAGTGTCGCTACTTCGGGGTCGGGCGTTGTCCGCAACCGAAACCGAGTAAGTATCTTTCGTTGTCGCAAAAAAATCATTAAAAAACTAGTTGAGACCGGGCAACCGAGTCAGAGGAGGCTAGCTATCAAGGTAATGCATCGTGCATACCTCATCTGGAAGCAACGGCGCTCGCTTGACGCCGGCTCGATTATGGCTTTCGTTAGTTCCATGCTTATCTTGCCTAGCGGGCCGCCTTCTGGACAACGCCAACGTAAGGGAATGGTAAGATGGCACATGATGATGATGATGATGGATGATACACTTTGTATGGCTTCAGCTTTGCAGCCAATGTAAGCTTCGATACAGGGTAGTGGTCGGCTGGCATGCGGCGGGATTCATCTCCGCAAGGAGTGTCATGGATGCGTCAAAGCAGCATCGAAGGGGCTGAACTGGGGGTGGATCTTCAGGCCCGATCAGCATTCAGGGAAATGCAAGGCGGAAAGCTACCGCTCTCCATCAAGGAAGGCTAAAGGCGTGTAGTAAGAGGGACGTCGATGATGACGAAGAGGGAAAATGAGAAGGGCGGATTGGGGGAGTCGAAGTCACTGCGTGTGCATGATTGGCATGGATCTCCAATTTTGAGGCATGGTGGTGGAGCAATCGATACCCATAGCCAATCTCATTGAACTCGAAAGGCTACAGGCCAGTTTCTGGTCCTGCTGAGCTGAGCAGGGCAAGGCAAGAAGGAGAATGCCGGACGGGGGACCGAATAGGGTCGCGTCTGGGCTCAGCCATGAAGATTGCGAGGCCACTTCATGCCCTTGCCCTCCGCCAGAGCTCATTGGCCTGGGCGTCCAATTTCACGGCTTGCTGTGATGAGCCTTGTGAGGGGTAGGAAGGGCATTCGTAAACAACTTAACTAGCATCGATCTCCGGTCAGCCTTGATACCTCACCTATCGTGTAGCGGCGACGTAACCGCCCCCCCGAGCTGCGGGTTCAACCTCGCTCTAGCAGCCGGCTGGGTGTGCGCACAGCCAAATCTCGGACTTAGGAGGCCTGCTGCTAGTGGGCCTGCCCCCCCGAGCGAATCTGATGGTGATGCTCCAACCGACCGCCTTTTTGCTTAGAAGAGCTGAAAGCTGCTGCCTGCTCTGGAGTATCGAGTGACTGCCGAGCCGCCAGCTGGTCATGTCCAATATTCCGGTGCCTCACTGCCGGGGGAGCTGCCCTATCAGAGGGTGCTGATGGCCGCTGTAGTCAGCGCCGTGGCCAGCTAGCGGTGCTGGTGTTGGCGGGCGGGTGGGGATTCCATAGCATGCCTGCCCCCCCCAGAGGCAGCAGGTAGGGTTGGTTGGCTGGCTCGCTGTGGCGCACCCATTGTTTTTCTTCCTGGTCCATGCTTCTTGGCCTTGGCAGCAAAGGCTGGTCCCCTGGCCATTGGCATTGGGCGACCCGGATTCCTGGGAGCGTGCCCTTCCTGAGCTTTCCCAGCCCAACCTAGTTCCCAGCTGCCTTTCTTGGGAAGTCTAGTGTTGGGGGCGCTCTATTCAATCGCGGGTGGGGTCATGCTAATTTACGGCTCGTCCTCGCTCCTTGTTTTGGAGTACGTAGATCCCTACGGGGCTCTCGTGGATACCAGACTGCTGCCTCGTTCGAGAATGGAAGGCAATTGCTGAGATGACCAATTTGTTTGACCATTCCCTGCTTTGGTCTTGATAATGGGTTGCAAGAAATCACAGTTTCTTACCAAAAAATTTGTACAATACCCATGATTGGTGGCTTACAGATTGGAGCGTGCTTCAGCTGGTAGTGTATGGAGTAGGCCCCGGTCATTATCCAGATTGGGTGGTTTGTGCCCGGTTTGGGCCCTGCCTCGAGTTGCATAGCTGAATGCAAGGTGAGCAAAGAGGCTGAAGGGGGGAAAACAACCTCCCGTCTAATATCAAGGGAACCTCCATCATGGACGTAGCGACGCCCAATACGCACTAGGGCCACGCAACAGCCTCGGCTGGTGGGCAAGACAAGATTTGAACCCCTCGCTTTACGAAACTACCCCATTAGCTAGTGCACGTCGTACGTCGTACACGCCAGCAATGGCCTCCCTCCCATCAGCTGCGAGTTGGCCTGGCCTCTCTCCACACGCTGCTCGCACCATGGCACAAGGGCGAGAGAAGCCTCCGTAGCTCGGTACTAGCTAGCTGAATCGACCGTCTCAGTTGGTCTCGGTGGGAGACATGGATCACCGCTAGGTCCATAGGGCTGCGCCATACTGCGCGTTCGTATCCAGTTATCGTTAGGCGGCTCTAGGATGGTACAGCATGCTCATGCGAGACTACCTACGACACGTGTGACCTGTTCCAACCTGGAGGTTTTGGGTTCTTCCGCGTTGGTGATGACGCCCGTTTATTGCAACGCGGTTTTGGATTTTCAAGGTGTCACTTACGCCCCTAGTAATGCCGCGTTAGGCTGCGTCTGGTTGGCATGAGGGTTAGACAGATCCCGGGTGGAACGCAGGTGGAGGACGGGCCTGGCATGTACACCGACCGGAAATACACCCCATAAACAATTAGCTTAGTTTGGATCAACCTCCTGCGTACGTATATCGTTCATTTTGATAGGGAGGGGCATATACTCACTATTCAATGACACGCAGGTTAAAGAGACTCCGGTTGGCAGTAGTGGCTCCCGATCGGCTTCGGGATGGGTCTTTGGCTCCCGACCCCCGCGAGGGACCAGATGCTGTAGCCAAGCCGATAGTTGTGTACGTAGTAGACCAACCGACGGGGCCGGTCGATATTACCTTGCGATGCTACCTCGATCTTATGCGAGGGTCGATTGTTTTTTCGGCGCTTGGTATTGTGCTATTGGCACGGTATTTTTCCTCTTTTTTTTTGCTGCACCTCTTTTGCGTGGGCCTCATCTGCCCTATACGATCCATCTCTCAGGGTAGAACATGCATGGGTGAAGAAGTTCCTGTCGACGGCACAAACGTGAGATGGATCCCTGTTGCTCCCTGCGACGTCCATGTCTCGCTGCAGCTCATAAGAACGGCAATGCTCCGCGCCAAATTCCTAATCCGTCGCTATCTCGCGCTGGGCGGCGCATCAGTCTTTCGTCATTCGCCGACCTACACGAGGAAACAGGCAAGTTGCTGCGAGGACCATTACTTGCAATGGATATGTCAGATTGAATTAGCACGCACTAGGCCTGCAAAGACCCCCGCCTGGTGCTTACAGGAGGTTGCGAATACAATTGAATGAAATGGTACATTGGGAGCCTTGCGGGGGCGAGTTGGTACATAGAGAACAACGGATCCGATATTCACACAACAGCCTTGTCGCCCATAATGGTGGTGCATTATTGCGCCGACGACGCCGCGACCCCAGCTAGACTATGCAATGGCGCATCGTTGCATGCCAATCATGGCACAAGTGCGACGCCCCTGGACGGAAGCACAAACGTGCAGTAACGGTGACAGGGCAAAACATGTACAAGGCTAGCCCTCCGGTAATACAACATCCAGGTGTATTCTCTGTTGGCCCTCGTGTCTCGTTATCAACTGAGAGGAGGAGAAGAGACATGGCAAAGGCCAAGAGGTAGGGCACACTTGACCTCCCCCCTCTTTATGCGGCCACCTTCGCCGAGCTTTCCAAGAGTTCTGGAACATGATGTGCACAACAAGTGCCTAGGGGGGGATTTTAGCAGCATGCGATGCACCTGCAGCGCCCCTCCCTCCCTGATTGACGGTGGCAGTGGTGATCCAATGCGAGCCTGTAGGTTTGGTTGGTTGGTCGGCGAGTAACCGCCATGGCTGGCTTTCGTTGCGCTGCATGGCATGGCGCCCAACCAACGGGACCTTCCATGGAACCCCACTCCTGGCTGCTGGCTTGCAGGTACATTGCCTGCGCAGCCCATGAAACCCGTTGCGACCGGCGATACGCATCGGCCGAAGAATGTGGTCTCGGTCGCCTGGGACACATGTGGGCGAGACACCTGCGCTGTGGCGAGCAGGCTCCCGTCGGAGGCAAACAAGCCAGAAGACCACCAGCAGAGGCCATCGCCGTCATGATGGGGGCGGTTGGCCATGCATCTGGCCGCCAGCTTCCCTCCTGCAGCTCCCTGGTCGCCTCGCCCCTGACGGCGTCCCGGAGCAGTGGCACATGGCAGGATGGAATAGTTCTAGAATAGTTCTGGAAGCTTGCCGGAACAGGCAGGACGGCTTGAGGGGGTCTGGTGGGTGTGGATCCGACTTGGGAGGTGGGGTTTGATGGTGGGCGGCGAGCTTCACCTCTTCCGGCATCGCATTGCCTTGAACGGGATAGAGAGAGTAAGCTTGATACCCTGCTGAAGGGAGGGGAGGGAATGCCGGCCTCAGCTGGCAGTTCCTGAGGACCTGGAGCCAAGCACGCGGTGGTTGAAACAGGACACACCTCTCGCGAAGGAACCAATGGCCGTGTCCCTTTTTCATAGCGTATTAGTGGCGAGTTACCGGCAGGAATCAATGGCTTGGCCAGCAGGCCGGGCGACCACGTAGGGCGGCCCACTCCAGGGTACATGCCCAGATTCGTACGAAAATAGCTGCATTCGTATATCTAGCAACCACATCAAGGGTGATGATATCGCGAGCCCAGTCATTGCGCTGCTGGCGTTCCGAAACTGCCATGTCCTGGCGGTTTGGCTTGGCAAACCCCTCACCACACTTGAACTGTGCCGCACACCGGACAGACTATTACTAGCACCAGCCAGGGAAATCGCCCAGATTGTGGAGCCGTCAGCCCTACCAAGTATCTGGGCAGGCTCACTTTGAAGTTGGATGAAACTCGAATGTCTGTTTTTGGCGGCGCCTGGTGATCGAGGCCGCGCGCGATGGCTAATACCTACATAGGCAACAGCAACAACGCCCATCTCACACAGGAGCTACATCCTTCAAAAGGTCAATTCCGCGCCTGCGAGTGGTTGAGACACGGCGGGAAACGAAACCCGCCGAAACCTGGTCGCCTCGAGGGGTGTGGAAGGATTAGAATCATAGCAAACAATAGTACTACAACCATCACCAACGAAGTTGCAGCTATTTGCTCACATCACTTGCCTATCTCTCCCCGACAACGCAGCCCCGGGATCTACATGGCAGCACACACATGCAGAGCAATTGTATGAGTTCGGGGGGTTTGACGGCATGTTGATGTGCATTAATAATCGGGGATGCCAATATACCTGTTCCGGGCAGTAGTAGGGCTGGCTGGGTGCAGAGGGACGGAGTCGCGGAGGCATGTTTGCCCAGGACCCGGATGGCACGGGAGGAACACCTGGGGGCAGGGCAGCCTGCCCTCGGTCGGTAGGTATGTATGTACTCCTTGCTGAGAGGATCCAGCAGATGTTGTGAACCCGCAACTCAGGTGGATAGGCTGGAAACGAACTTTTGAGGCCTCCACTTCCCGCGGAGCTGCGCCACGATGGTGGATCAACGCGCCGACTATCATGTGCGAGGCGCCCAAAGAGAAATGGCAGTCCGAGGGCATGTACGTGGAGGAAGCAAGGTCCTCGTCGTGCTGAAAAGGCGGCATCCTGAGCAGCGGCAGGATTTTCTCGCTGCCCTTCCAATTCCCTCTCGTTCCGCGCGAGACAGAGTGTGTGTGCCAGATCCATCTGGAGTTCGTCTCGTTCTGACCATTGCGTCAACCCTGCAGCTCTAGTGCCCTTTTGAGTGGCCATTGCTAGGGCTGAAGGGGGCTGTGTAAGGGGGTTGACGAAGCCCGCGGGGGAGTAGCGCGTCTGGCAGGGAAAAAGGGGTGTCCTGTCTCTCCTTGGCGGCGCCGAGTGGAATGGCTGTCTGTGTGTCTCGCTGTTTTGTGTGTGTGAGTGTTTCGGACCCTCGGGACCGTCACCAGATTGTCTGTCCATGGCAAGGCACGCAAAGGAAGGGAAGGGCACATCTCAGGCGGTTTTGCACGGGGTGTGCCTATACGTGGTGGACACACGGGCTGTATGTAATTCCATGGCACGGCATGGACATCCCATGCGATACTATGCCTTGCCCTACCTAGCCTCCATTTTGCAAGCAGGAGGGCTCGTCTATCTGAAATTGCATCTCGTCCAATCGCGGGCGGCCAGAGCGGCGGTGGCCTTGTTTCTGTGCGTGTGTCCGTGTGTGTGTACTATGTACGTGCATGTGCACGATGTTACCCTGCTGCTCGCCTGCATTGTGGATGGCGCCCTGCCATTTGAAAACCACCCGCGGATAGGTACTTGATGATAGTTGGCGATTCATTTCACTGCCGGGCTACGGAGATGCCCCAGTCCATCCATCGCCGAGCTGCGTGTCTTCGTACTGCGTACTCCGTGGCCTTGGAGGAGAGATGGAGACAGGGAGGATCCGTTGTCTGCTGGTTCGTTCTCATACAGCCATGGTCAAACTCTCACCCAGTGGGTCTGCATTCCTATTCTTATGTCTTTTGTTATTATGGCGACCTGTTTGTGGCTCAGGACTTTCTTGCACGTTCTAATGCCCGGTAATAGGCTTTGGGTGAGTAGTAGTATAATTGCGCTACTGCGACCTGCATGCATAAGTACATACACATACATATATGTAAATCTATATACGACATCACAACTGTGTAGCAGTGGGAGACGTTGACAGGGACACATGTGTTTGAGCTGTTTTTGGGTTCCCCGTTCCCCAGAACCAGAGCAAGGATATTCCCAACTGAATGATGAGAAAGAACTGAACCCCTCCTCCCTCCCATCCCCTGTCCCGGATGATGATTGAAGGCGAGTCTGCTCTTATGTGCCGCCTCCCTATCAGTGAGCCTACGACTTACAGGGCAGGATGTGGCTTCAGTACGCGTAAGACGCCGCTCCTGGCCGTCGCACATGCGGATTGAACCCCCTCTTTCAGGGCATATCCTCTACATACTTACAAGGTTGGGCAAGGCAGCCAGCGAAGATCGAGACATGGAAGGCGAGATAGTCAAGGACCAGGGATCGCGAGAGAGACCGAGCCTGAACGCTCAACTGAAACCGCCCACACGGGCTGGAGCCCGGCTCCTAGCAAACTCCACGGCGTACGTACATACATAGTATTATGGGCGTGTCTTGCTCGCGGCAGTTGGATATGCCAGGGAGTGCTTGGGGGATCTGGCCAGGGCAGGCCGTGTGGCCAACTGAGCCAAGCACCGGCTCTATCTGGGGGAGGGTCTCTGTTGCTCCGTGGTTCAAGGGAGGGTTGTGGGCAGGATTAATTACCTTCTTACCACCTGCTGCATGTTGTAATAACAACACGTCATATAGATGCATATGCATACTGTCTGGCTTATATTACATATGTAATACTTCATGTCTGAGTCTGTAGGTTGGCGTGTAATGCCGCCGAATTGAGACCCATCCGGCGACTGTGTGGTGTCCCCCATGCCTGCTTGCTGCATACGGTATCGACCTACACATCACGGACAGTCTCGTTCCCAAAGTACCTATGTATCATGTTGCGAGACATATGCGTCTGAGACCGTTGCTCTTCCGGCCGCAGGTGCATATAGAACCACCTAACAACACATACATGCACACGGGCAACAAGTCCACAATACCAACAGCATGCCCACGGGCCCTGAAAACACAGACACGCGCAAATGTGAACCGTCGTCCAGTCGCAGTTTATGCGTCTATCTGCATGTTAGGCCCGGCCCAGGGTTGAGATTCGAATAGATACATACATATGCGCGCGCCTGGAGCTTTGGCCACCACATGACAGCCATCGCGATGTCACCCCATCATTCCAGGAGCCGAAGTGCTCATTCTTCGACCGTTGCACCCTGGGTATACGTGTGAGAAACGTACGTTGCATCGCCCATCCCCTCGTCGCAAGACAGTCTCATGTAGTGTGGCCCAGCCTGGTAGGGCTAGACTTCTGCCACCCCTCATGAGGCTTAAAAGGGTTCCGTTGCCTGCCAACTCCATGAGACCAGTGACAGTTCGTGATGCAGTCGAAGCCCAGGTAGGAAATCTGTCTGTCAACTAGCACTGCTACCTTCTCTGCCGGCCTGTCGCTATTCGATCGCCAGGTGCCCTGCCTTGCGGAACCGGGACCAGGACGAAAAACCAAGACCACGGCCAAGGACCCAGCATCCAATACTACTGTAACCATGCGGATCTCCCCTTTCGGCTCTTCCGACTCATGCTGTGAAGTCATTCGCAAAAAGTTTTAAACCGCGCCCCCTGTCTCATCATCCCGCCCATCTTTCTCTTTCGTCCTACTCTTGTAGGTGGATGAGGTGAGAGGCAGCTAGGCACCGAGATAAAAAGAGCAGGGAGGCAAGGGCCATGAACCGAAAAGCGTTCGTCTCTGTTTACCGACATGGACACACAGACCGCTTACGTCTGTGTCTCCCGACTGACGCAGGGCGAGTATCCTTGCCCGCTCCTCTCCAGCTTACTTCCCTCCTTCTATAAGCTTTCTGGAAGGAAAAAAGGGCTCATTTCGGCGTAATGTCTGCTTGCCCAATGCCGCTAGAAGTCAATTGCTCTGCCGTGAGCGCGGCATCAGAACCGTATCCCTGATCCATGCCGTCAGTGCTTAGCTTACCGCACGTTTTGGCTAGGGACGGGGACGGGAACGGGGGGGGGGAGTTGGTCTGAAGCCGATGATGATCGTGGGAGTCTTATTCCCAAGATGGCTGCTGGATAAGGATTATTTCTCCTGTCCCGCTCTTGATGATGTTGGTCGTTGTTCTGTCCAGACAGAGCGGCCTGTCGTGAGGGCCCGTCCATTTTCATGGATTCACCGCCTGGCCCTGGTCGGGCGCTCCGACTCAACCAGACCCGATTTGTAGTGTAGGAAGGATTTTCACCACTCCCGTCTCGTCTGCAACTGCCTCCAAGATGCCCACAGGAGCTCTCGTTTAGCCTTCCAGTGACGTGGTGCGCCCTACGGGTGCTAATTTTGATAACTTCTCTTAGCTCCGCAGTAGATCCTGATCCTCCTCCATCACCACAAGGCGTAACAGGAAAACTCTCCGTAGAACGGGGCCTCGCTTCATGTCTTCTCAGAAACAGGATACGGCTCGCTCATCATTCGTGTCTTCACGGGAAATCCCGTCCTATATTGCGTTAGTATACGCTTCGTACATCATCACCGACCTCGGTAATCCCGTGAAGATCTTGCAGTGATGTTGCTGGCCACATATCGCAAAGATATTCGCTCACGGGAACAATACGCTAACTCCTCCTTACCGTGTTTGACCAGAGTATTATTCCCCGGCAACGTGTCAGCTCACAGAAACAATGGCCAGTCCTGAATGTAGAATCGTGTGTGTAGTAGTCGCCATTGTGGTCATGACTCGGGACCGAGTTGCGTTGGCTTCAGAGATTTTATCTCAAGGATCCCCCAATGAATGTCCAAGCACTGCTTCAAGCTCCACGCCTGACTCGTAAACTAGCATCTCCATCAATGCCACCAGTTCCATCGCGTGACGGTGGCAAATGAAAGGCCCTCTCTTAGGTCGGAATTCCGCAATAGCTCTCAACCATTGGAGCTCAAGTAAAACTATTTGCTCGGCTTTGACAGTAGCCGATACGAGTGCGAGCAGCACCTCGGGAGGCAAGGCGAACATGGCTTCGGCACTATGAAGGCGGGAGCAAAGTTCAAGGACGTTTGAATGTTGTAGAAAAGCCGGAAAGACTATCAAGCCTTGAGGCTTCAGTTGAAGAGACCACCGTTGGAAGGACTCCTCGCATCAGCAACAATGCCCCCTCACTGTGTAGTCTTTCTCTCTAGAGTAACGACGTGGCCTCTTCCATTATTTTAAGTCCGTAAACAATCAGGTTAGTTACCAAATCAACTTTCTTGGAGCCAGTTTCTGTCACTAGATCACTCGCGGTCTTCATGTACTTCTCTCGTGAATAAAGGGTCGAATTCGTGCAAAGGCTTCAAGCCACGCCATAAAGATAACGTGGTCTTGGTTGAAAAGCCAAGGGCAGATTAGGAAAAATTGACCGGATATCTGTACATCTAATTGCCAGTCTCAATCTATCTTGTCGTTCAGAAAATCTATTAACATAGCTAATTGACATATCCAAACAAGAAGAATACACCACTAAACGCCCGTCGAAGGATACCAAGCGATGAGACATACATTAGATACATTATGAGGTTTAGCTGACTTGATAGAATATAGTGCCAGATGCAAAGTATCTCATAGTTGCGTTCCTGATCACCACCTTTCTTCAAGAGTCCTTTTGCTACTGATCTCTGACAGTCCTTCATAATAGACTTGAAGGCCAATGCTATTTGATCGTCAATATCCAAACCCATTAACATGCACATGATAATGCTCCGACATGTAATTTCGGGCAGGTTCAGACTCAATTCATCCTGTAGAACCAGACGGCATGGGAAGTAAGGTAGTACACCAGGGCCTCTTTGTATTCTGACATCACATCATACCTACACAAACACAAAACAATACCTGGACAAAAGATGAAAAAAGGCTATTTATTTGCTCAATATTGTCACTAGACGAATACTTGCCACACTATTTACATATTTAATACAACGCAGCGTG